TCTCGGAAAGGTGGATGTTTATCTTGGTTTTGTCTTTTTTAATTGCCTCTATATCAGCTGTATTGCCCCAATACAACAACAAAATCCTATTCTTCTGACTGCCTTACATACTGGTTTACATACAACAAATTACAGGCAGTCAGAAGAATAGGATTTTGTTGTTGTTGAAAAACCTGAAGGCTGACATTCCTGAACATTGTGTTCGTTGAAGCAGGACCTTGTTGGGAGGTCAGGGAGTCCAAAATTATGTTTTTTGAGTGATACTATATATTATGGCAGGTATCCTGGCAATGACTCAAATTCCATTTTTCAGAAAAGACCTTCAGGACCAGATGATGTTAACTAATGTCTAATTGTTCTATCAGTGTTCACCACACTCATTGGATAAGTATTGTTGTTCATTAGCATGTAAAGTGTTATGCATCTCCTCAGTGCCTTATATTTGTGATTTTACTAATGAGACAACACACATATTCACATTCTGCTGAAGAGGACAGGGATTTCTTTTGACTTGTACATCTGAGTTTTTGATTTGTGATTTTCATGTTTGATCCAAAACTTACATTTGTGCAATTCTAATATATGCATCAGTCTGACTTTTGAAAATTTTGCCATGATCTTGAAATAATTTAATCAGTATTGTATAATAACCTTTGACCTTTGCAGTTTTGAATGACCATATCAGAGGACACATGCTTGACCAGCTAATCAATAGCATTGTTCTCATGAGAAGTCCCCTGGGATTGTGGAATAATTGTCAAGTTGATTTTTTGTTTTGAGAAAATAAAAAAATTGTTTGAGTGACACTAATTGAGATAATTGGAATTAGACATCACTTCATCACATGATAGTAAATCAGCTGTGATGAGTAGAAATTAAAAATAGCTGACAGAAATTAAAGAGAATTGGTTTGGCTAAGTACAGCATCCATATTTTGATGATCGAAACAATTTCATCAGTAAGTAACTTTGTAGGCATAGAGTCCTCAACACTAAGTAACTTTGTAGGCATAGAGTCCTCAACACTAAGTAACTTTGGAGTTGTAAAGCAAAATGACTTGTGGATTTTGAAACAACATTACTTTGTCAATGTTAAAGATATCTGGCTGAATTAGGTGTCAAAATCAAGGTTAAAAATCAAATTTTATGACTAATTCATTAAAATGTGCATATCTATTACAACTGTTAAAATGCAGGTGCAAACAGGTAACACAACAGGTAAAATACAAGTAATTATTTTATTACCTCTTAGAAAACTTAGAAATTTTTCAAAACATGCTCAATTGACCCTAGATGTATTAGTGAATAATCACAATAGCAACACAAGTCTTTCTTTCATGGTGTACATAATTTATAAAATTCTATAAAATGAACCAAAATGATCTCCAAGGTGAGATCTGTCCACACACCTATATCGCCTCTGTTAAGTTTGATCGTCGCATTGAAGTTTGTTAAACAGACAATTTTTCCAAAAACTTCATCTGAATAGAATATTTGAAAATATTCCAAAGCTTTCCTGGAGCCATCTAACACTCGGGTGTGTCCAACTCTGTCAGAAAACTGAAACAAATCTCTTTGGTTTTCCAGCTTCGTCCAAATAAATCACGTGGAGCAAACAATTCCTCTGGTTCAAAACCTTTTGAAGTTTTCTTCATCATCATCACTGTCACCCAAAAGTGCATTCCATTGTCTCTCCATACGTCTTCTCTCATTTTCATCCAAATTTACCAGGTCAAAATTATTCAAATCCTCCGATAACCTCTTCTGAAATTTGTTCAAACTCCGCCATGTTGGATACAAATTTCAGCATTCGGAAAACACGTTAAAAGTTCCTATTTTGTTTGATATTTCTAGTTGTATACAAGCTAAACTCATGAGATCATCCAAATATAACATCTACATTACAAAATGGAAGTTATTAGAGGTACCCTGAAAGTTATTTAGTCAGGTACTATAATGTTAAAGAAGAACACTGCCCCAGACCGAAAAGTCGGTCCATAGTATTTATGGACTTACTTTCCCTGGACCGATTTTTCGGTCCGTAGTGATGAAAGTGTTAAGATGTCTTCAAAATTTTGTGTTAATTGAAGTTTTTAGGTTGATTCACACTCTTTGCTTTAAGTGCATTATATCCTATTTGATCATTTCTGATGTTACTGTTACAGTGTGTACATCATTCAGTTGTTGATGTTGTAACATTGCATTTTATAAGGATGGCATATAAATAGCATTGCCCAGAGGAATATTTTGACTTCATTCAAAGGGAAAGATCACCAAGATACTGCTGCAGGCTGTGACACTAAAAATGGTAGTATGAAACACAGGGAAAATACGTAAGAATGCAGAGAAATTTATGGATAAGTGGAAGAAAATTGATATGTGACTAGTGAAATTATCCTAATTCAGTATTAGTAATGCCAAATATTGTTCTGTGGTCATTTATTAATATTGTATTTCAAAGTAATATGAGATGTTCAAATTTCATTTTGTTTTTCTTTCAATATATTACATTCCAGTCTAGTTTTTTTTGTGTAATAAACAAGACTCCTTGATGTTTTATGTGTTTGACAGTGATGATAAATTAGTTTGAAAAGTGTATTTTTTCTCCATGTTTTTCTCATGACTCATGGGTTGCAGATTTGGACTCTAAGAAATTTGAGCAGCAATCAGTGACTGTGAGCAATTAATGAAATGACCCTTCAGTTTTTTGTTGAAAGGAGAACACTGAGAGGTGCTTATAAATAAGGACATTTTCAGTTTCTGTATGCTCCGGTGGTAAATTCTGAATAAGTGTGGCACATGACCTCTTTTCTGATTTCCAGCTGGATGCCATCAAAGACTTGCTTTCAGGTCACAGTATACACAGATGAGTATTCTGGATCCATGGAATAATTTTGCTTCCTCTCTGCCCAAATAGGCCACTTTTAAGTGGCTTGATCAAGCTTCACTGATATTGAAAGGGATATTTCATGTTGTTAGAGTTACTGACTCTTGTTCTGTGAAGAACCCCTTTAAAGAAGAACATCCATTTTCTTTCACAAATTAAAGGAAGATGTGGACACTTTTTTGCAGGAAAGGCGGTTGAGAGGCCCTTGAGCATTCAGTCCCTCACACAGGAAAGGTGGTTGAGAGGCCCCTGAGCATTCTGTCCCTCACACAGGAAAGGTGGTTGAGAGGCCCCTGAGCATTCAGCCCCTCACACAGAAAGGGCGGTTGACAGACCCCTGAGCATTCAGACTCCCACATTATATACCCAGATCTTTCAGAGCACTAAGAAAAGACGGAATTTCAAAACTTCATTGATCTTTTCTAGTTAAGCAAGTTTCTTTTGGAGGAACATTTCAGGATGGTTCACTTCCTCAGTCAGGAACGCAATCCATTTCTCAGATGGGGCAATCTCCATCCATGATTAGAATACCTATTTGCACCTATGATATTTCCTTTGCATTGAGAATACCCTCATGTAAATTCATTACCTATAGAGATTTTACTCTTGTTCAAATCTCTGCTGGCGATTCTCCTGCCTTGAAAGGGAAACATAAGGGTACGAGATGTATTTTCTTTTCCTTAAGGGATGAGTTGATATTTCGGCCTCCACTCTCTCAAGTGCATTTCTCCACAATCAAGTTTTTCAGTCCATTACCTATAGAGACCATTCTTTTATCAAGCTAAAAGTTCATGCAGTCAGCATTGTTGCTGCCACCATGAAGGACATCATGAAGGAAGCATTTTTGCAGTCCCATACTACCTACTACTTGTGATCATTAACACAACAAAGTGTATGAATTGTTTCTCTGGGTCCCACAATTGCAGCACGATATGTGGCCAACAGGGACACCAATATTCTGTAAGTAGATTTCTCCCTCTGATAGTGACTATACAGTAGAACCTGTTTTGAAAGACCAACCTTTCTGCCATAAAATTATGGTCTCTCAAGAAAGGTGGTCTCTCATAACAGGTCAGAATGCTATATAGTCATTAAATTTGTGTGTTGAGAATATGGTCTCTCAAGACAGGTGGTCTCACATAGCTGTGGTTTTTCAAGACATGTTTCTCTGTATATAAAATTTTTTCTCAGTTTTTTTTTTGTTGTAAAAGTTATAAACAGCCTATCCACAAATTTGAATTGCCCATTTGATCGGCAAAGAAAAATGTGTTCTCTAATTTCACTGAATAAGACTTGAGAATGCTTGTGAAATTGGGCATTTCAGACCCTAATGTTCATGAAGGTAAACTCTCATTTACACTCTACTTTTTGCAACTACTATGATTTCCAGGAATTTCTTATTTCTGTATGTTTAGGTGTGGAACTCGGAACAATTGTAGTCTGTGTATTTCACCTCTGTTTTGGATGAGAGATGGGACCCTTGTCTTTTTTTTCTGAATGGTGCAAGATATCAGTGTTTCTTGCTCCAAGTTGCAACAGAAATGTGAGGTGTGAGGATAATGAGTCAACGTTGCAGAAGATAACAGGCATATGCATGGGATCACCAGTGAAAATTTGGCAATGGAATACTTTTCTCATAATCAGTGACACCAATTATTTTCTAGCAATGACATTTTGTCTCTTTTATATTCAGGATAAGAAAATTGAACAGTTTTCAACCTTTGCAGGGGCCCCGAGTGGCCGAGTGGTCTAAAGTGCTGTCTGGTCTAAAGTGCTGTCATTACAGATCACTGCCATCTCACCTCTGTCTGCGTGGGTTGAGTCTAGGATTCCGCAAATGTGGATATGTGAGAAAGCTTGCCAGTAGCTTCTCGTGGGTCGGTGGTTCTTTCCGGTGATTTCCTGGTTTCTTCCTCCACCATTAATACTGGCCGCCATGAATAGCCTATCGTGTGCTGAAAAATGGCGTTAAGCTCAACAACAACAACATCAACCTTTGCATTGAAATTTTTAACAGTGCATTAGGGTGATTACATTTTGAGAATTGCTCTTCAGAAGAAGTTGAGTTATATTTAGATCACCTGGCCATAAAACTAACTGAACTAAATTATACTGACTTCTCTGATGTCCTTAGTGGTTAGAGCATTTGTCTCGGATGCAGGAGGTTGCTGGTTCAAACCCAGGACAAGTCATGTTCATATTTATGCAAATGATGCCAGTCCTTCATCAGATGGATCTGTTGTATCTGGAAGGAGTATATTATGACTTTTATATTTAAAAAAAATCGCTGAAGAGAAATCATATTGGACAGAGATCATCTTGGCTGTAGACTTTTAAATGGCTTCTGTAAAATGAAGCTCTTCAGATAAGTCTAGTGCCAAAAATTATTATTTAAAAAAAAATTGATGTTGCTAAAAATGTAACTAGTAACTACTAAACACAGTGACCAAACTTGACAGAAGGCATACCATCTTGAAGACCTTTCATATTCATGTATACAGTGTATGAGGCTGCTCAAATATAGACCCTATTACAAAATGTTACATGACAAGGGCTCATTCTCAGTAACAAAGAAAAGAGTGAAAGCCAACAAGCTTTGTATATTTCAACAAATCAATTTTTTTCCCTAGACAACAATGTAAAAATCTGTAAATAGGACTTACAATCATTGAATATAATCCAAGAATGATTTTAAAAATAAAAACACATTTTAACTTGCTGTTGATTTGTTACCAAGGTAAGGTGAACTAAATGCCAACCCTCACATATTAATATTTCATCTTAAATAAGCAAAGCTTGTGCTAAAATTATATCTCACTACTAAAAATAGAATCCTGAATAAGAGAAAAATATTCATTGCAATTAAATACAATGAAACAAAAATAAAATAAAAAGAATTTAAAACCTTACATAAAAGCAATTTAATCACAAATACGTAACAAAAAGACCCATCTTTGCTAACCAGTCTTTGTATAGCTTTCATGCAAATAGACCTGTAATGGCTTCCCTCTGGTACATTGTCATACTTATGATGTTAAACATGTAATGTATCATTTTTAAGTCTACTGCCACCACCATTTTTAGCCAATGTACAATGCACCACACTATTGGTTAGATGTAGTTATGACAAAGCATCAATATAGTTGTTTGGTTAGCCAAAATGTAGATAGGGTTTGCATGAAAAACCAGCACTGGAAAAGTTCTTTTTTATCAGTCCATTCAAGTTGTGTGATCCCTGGTTTTTATTAACAAATTAACAAAGGACTTTACAGACCATACCTTTAAATATTATTCTTAATTAGTTTTCATTATTAAGTCTGTCACTGTAATTAAACACCACATGCATTTTAAAACCAGTATGGAAGCCCTTTGATGTTGTCTTATCCAGCAAAAATTACATCTTAGTATGCTGAAGTGAAACCACAGACCATTGGTCAACTAGTCTTATGGTTTAATTAGTCATACAAACATAAAATATAAAATCCTTTCATTATCCATTGTAAGTTTGAAAAATCACAGACTGTGTTAAATAGATTCATACATATATATATATATATATATATATATATATATATATATATATATATATATATATATATATATATATATATATATATATATATATATATATATATACTATCTTTTAAGAGCTTGTTCTGTTTTGACTTAGATATAATTAACATTTTATTACAAATCTGTTCTATGATTTAACCCACTATTATCTTATTATTGTTGAGTTCCAATAACAAGTCCTGCTTGTCCTTTTAACATCTGCTATATGGAAATGGCTTCAATAGCACATAGACAGACTTTCATTTCCCTAAAGTGAGCCTCATTTCCTACTGGCAGCTTTGCTGATTTGACCTCTTCATTTGATTCTTGCCCTAAGTCTGGTTTCAACTGGACTTACCAAACCACTAAGTAAGTATAATTACAGTGTAAATAACACTGTATAGCCCTGTGGTTGTTGTGACAAAGTATGTAGTAATTAAAACTAGAAGGAACTGTTGCTTTAGCAGTGTTTATTCCTAATGGAATATAGTGGGGTCCTAATACTGGAGGATTATCCCATTTGTCCCTAATTGAAAATAGTCTTTTGTTTTTTCTTTGCAAAAGCTACAGATAAAAACTATAGTGAATAAATATGGTCATGTACACTGAAAAATTTTGTTTGATCTCAACAACTGATCATTTTGTTGGACATCACAGGTACATATATTCTAAATACAAATGAACTTGCACACTGAGACATAATTCTCTCTCTCTCTCTCTCTCTCTCTCTCTCTCTCTCTCTCTCTCTCTCTCTCTCTCTCTCTCTCTCTCTCTCTCTCTCTCTCTCTCTCTTGTTTAGTAATAACAATAGTACTTTTGATTTTTGAGACAGAAAATATACATTTACTTTGTATGTTTGTACTGTTAGGTCCTCGAGTAGCATGTGTACTGTAGAACTTGTTTTGGTATGATCCCTTTATTTTTAATAAATAGTCAGCACCACCATATGATAATTATTTATTTTGTATATAATTTTTCGTACACTGAAATTAATAATTATTTTTACATGTTTAATAAAAATTACATAAAATATGGTTGACCAGATTTAAGAGAAAGTATTGAGGTATAGTTTGTAAATACATATGTGTATGTACATAGTTGCATTTCACAGCACCAACTGTTTCCCTTTCTCATTTGTGCATCATAGAACCCCAAATTTTTAATTTTACCACCAATTTGACATCAAGGTTTGTTTTTTTTACTCAGTTTGATCCCCAGTTCTGACATCATATGTTTATTACACTTAATCTTGCACCTAGAATGGATCCACTGGCAACTCAGGGCAATGTTCTCTGTATGTTGTGAAGTAAAATGTAAAGTTAAAAAAATGTAATCTGAAGATAAAAGATGGATGTAACACATGTAAAATCATTATAACAGTCAAAATTTGAAAGTGAATAGGGCTACCAGGTTTGTACATCTGATGTTGCTGTACCATTTTTATGGCCACCATCAAACTCCTATTATACTTTAAACCACGTCTTCACCAAGAATTTTTAAATTTGTAATAATTATGATGATCTTCCATCAAATTTTGCTAGAATAAACTTTAAATGACTTCCCCCAAACCCAATAAATACAAATTCAAAAAAATTGATACAATCTTTGCATGAAGAATATTCACTTTAAAAAAATGATGCAGGTTTGCCATTACACATGAAATATAAAAAATATATAAAAAATAAAATTATATAAAAATATAAAAAATATAAAAATAATTAAATTACTCTAAACATCGCTCTACATATTTGAAACAAGAAAAAAAAGAAGACATCAGTGCATAGAGGTCTTTGAGATTCGTACAGCTCATGCTAATCTACCATTTAATATGGCCACTGTTACTAAAAATAAAATAAAATCTTAAAGCACTTCTCTACACTTGATCAACAGAATCTGACCAGAACTTTACATAAATCATAGACCCACAAAGCCTTTTAAGTTGACGCAGTGATGCTGTTGTGCATTAAAAAAAGTGACCATTATTAATATTAACAAAAAAATCCTTTATAAGGCTTCACAAATAATATTCAGGATAATCTTTTTAGATACAGAAGAAAACAACATTACTTGGAAACTGGTCAGATTTGTATAAACCATTCTGATTTGCTATTAGATATGGTCACCATTACTGAAAATAACAAAATAAAAATTGGAAATGGCTAATCCAAATAGTTGAATACCGGTAGTACTTGACCAAACTTGAGATAGCATTCTGGCACAAAGTCCTTTTATATTTTACAATAATGCTGATAAGTCAAATATAGTCACCATTGCTTTAAACAGAAAAGCCTTTAAAAGACTTCTCCAAAATGGGAAAAAACCACTTTGTTGAAATTTGATAGTTTCCTCTGATAAAGACCATCAATTTTTTTTATGAAAGATTCTGATCTGCTGTATGTATAAAATGTTGCTGCTAAAAACAGATAAACCACTAAACAACTTCTCATGAACTGCTCAGCTTAATTTGACCAAGTTTCACAGAGAGCATCCTGGCAAGAAAATCTAGATTATTTGTACAGTTGATACAGAGCGGCCAATACTACAATTATAAGTACCTCAAAGGATTTTTCCCCATATGTTCATAATAGATTTTGACAAAACTTGACAGAAAGGAGTTTGGGATAAATGTTTTAAATTTATGCTAATAATACCATTCCACCATAGCATACTAAAATATAATATCCTTATTTTATACAACTTTCAACCAGTACAGCTATAAGAAAAATTATGACAAAACTTGATTGAAAGAATTCTAGCTTGAATAACTTGAAACTTTATATAAAAGGTACATATCTGCCATAGTAGTGTTACTGTTACTAAAAAAAGAAAAAAAAAACTTTAAAAAAAAAATTTCTCATCAACTGCTGAACTGAATCTGCCCAACTGTAACAGATTGCATGCATAGTGGACTTGCAAGTTTTAAACAACTGGTGCTGATCCACAAATATGGCTACAGTTGCTAAAAATAGAAAATATAATTTAATGACTTTCTATAAACATCTGCTAAACAGATTTTGACAAGACTTTGCAGAAAGCATCCTGACACACGAGACATTATAAATGATACCTTTCCAACAATGAAAGTAGAAGAATATATGTACATGATTTATTAAAAATAAAAAAAAAAATTGTTGAACAGAATATTGCTGATATTTACACAACATCCTGGAAGAGTTTTTGACAAGTGATGCTGATGTACTCATCAAATAATCAACAAAGATTCAAAAGCAGAAATCAGCTAGGTGTGCCCAGAGGAGTCTTGTGTGTAGAAATGTTGAATCTAGTGACCCTGATGGAAAACTTTAATGTTTTGAATGTAAAAATTTTGTTTTTAAAGCTTAAAAATGTAAAAAAGGAGAAGATAAATGGACACTAGAAAGAAAAACTGGCAGGCACAGCAAGGGCAAACTTATTCTACATGTAGAGCGTGATAAATGTAGGTGGGTGGGGTGCACATGTGTGTAATTATAAAAATTGGATTTACAACCAGTGACCTCAGTTACTTGGAAAATCAGTGGCCAGTTATAATTAGCCAGTGACCCACATTTATGTATCATGCAGTGGATAATATGAAATGATGGGGCTGATTGAAAAAGTTTTCATGTGTGTGTGTTATTTGGATTTTTAACATAGCTTTAAC